TAAGTCTATCCTTATGCTAGTCCCACACTGTTTTGATTTCTGTACCTTTGTAGTAAGCTTTAAAATCAGAAAATACGAGTTCAACTTTGTTATTTTTTATGATTGTTTTGGCTATTTGGATTCCCTTGAAATTCATATGAATTTTAAGATGGCTTTTTCCATTTCTGCAAAAAATGCAATTTGGATTTTGATAGGGATTATATTGAATCTGTAGATCACTCTGGGTAGTATTGTCACCCTAACAATATTAAGTCTTCCAATCCATGAACAAAGGATGTCTAATTACTTAGGTCTTTAATTTCTTTCAGTAATATTTTATAGTTCTCACTGTGCAAGTCTTATACCTTCTTGTTTAAATTTATTGTGAAGTATTTTATTCTTTTTGATGCTATTGTAAATGGAATTGTTTTCTTAATTTTCTGTTCAAATTGTTCACTGCTAGTACACAGAAATACAACTGATTTTTGTGTATTGATTTTGTGTCTTGCAATTTTGCTAAATTCATTTATTAGCTCTGACAGTATTTTTTATGTGGATTCTTTAGGGTTTTCTATACATAAGATCCTGTCATCTATAAAAAGAGATAGTTTCACTTCTTCCTTAATTTGGATACATTTTATTTATTTTTTCTTGCCTAAGTGCTCTGGCTAGAACTCCAGTATTATGCTGGATAGAAGTGGTGATCTTGTCCCTGATCTTAGGTGAAAATCCTTATGTCTTTCACCATTGCGTATAATGTTAGCTGTGGGGTTTTCTTTTCTCTACCTTTTTTTTTTTTTCTTTTTTTGTGGCTGGCTGGTGGACGAGGATCTGAACTCATGACCTTGGTATTATAAGGCTATGCTCTAACCAACTGAGCTAACTGGCCAGCCCCACTGTGGGTTTTTTTTATACGTAGGTTTTTACCATGTTGAGAAAGTTCCCTTACATTCCTAGTTTATTGAGGGTTTTTATCATGAAAGGGTGTTGGATTTGGTCAAATGCTTTTTCTGCATCAATTGAAATGATCACATGGGTTTTTTTTCTTTCATTCTATTAATATAGTATATTATATTGCTTGGTTTTTATATGTTAAACTACCCTGTATTCTTGGTGTAAATGCTAAGAAGGTAAACAATACCAATCTTCTCATTAATTTTTTAAATAAAATTTTTGATAAAATATTCTTCTTTGGGCCGGCCCGTGGTTCACTCGGGAGAGTGGGGTGCTGGTAGCACCAAGGCCCCGGGTTCGGATCCCACACAGGGATGGCCGGTTCGCTCACTGGCTGAGCGTGGTGCTGACAACACCAAGGTCAAGGGTTAAGATCCCCTTACCGGTCATCTTTTAAAAAATAATAATAATAATAAAATAAAATAAAATAAAATATTCTTCTTTAACACTGAATGGCTATATCATTTTAAATTAATAGGTATATTATTTTTAATTTTTCTGTTTTAATTTTTATATGATAAATATTGACAGGTATAATACATAATCAAAAGTTCTTTGAGGTCTTTAATAATTTTAAGAGTCAAAAGGGGTCCTGAGATTGAAAATTTTGAGAAACAATGCCTCTAAGGTATGTTGTCCCTAATTTAGAAATGTATATGAATAACAAATAAACTGAATATAAAATACCTGGGAAAGAGAGTCCTATAAGGTGCTACTTCAGCCCTTATAAGGTGAAGGCAGAAAAGGAATGACCTGTGGGAATGTACTAACTCACGTTTGCATAGGCTAACCTCCTACCTTTAAAATTACCTGATGCTGTTGCCATATCTAATTTTGAATTTATACACATTGGGTCCTGCATGGAGAAACCTCGTCTCTGGAAATGGGTACGTAAAAGGTTTTAAACTCATTGCTTCCAAATGATAGCCTAAATAAAGTAGAAATAACAGAGAATTACAAAAAAGCTAAAGATGGCTCCTTATACAAAGGAAAGGGAGCCTGTCCAATCTGTAGCATCTCTTCACTAGTAAAAAGTCCAACACTCAGCACCACTGCCTGTGCACCAGGCTCAGTTCTGCTATTAATCACCTGGACCATTCTCTTACCTGAATGAGGAAAATACATGATGTGTTGGGACAATCTTTATGCTTGAAGTCAAAAGACCAGAATTTAAGTTTTGTCGTTTATCTTATGACCTTGTGAAAATTACTTCTCTTCCATAAGACTAATGATACTAACATCTGCCCTGATGACTCACAAGTTTTTTGCTAGAATAAAATGTTTCTCCCAAATACTACTTGAATTTTTCTCCTCCCCTACTTCCACTTTCTCTGGAAATTAGGTGGATGTGAAGAGGGCTCAAATTAAATAATGAAACAATCCAAAGGATACACCAATAACAGGCACAATTAGGAGGACCTCGGCTATTAATTTCAGGTGAATTCAGGAATTAGCAACACTTCCTGCCACAACCAATGCAACAATTACAGATATACACTAACGTTTCCCAGTAGTGCCAAGGAATGCCTTATTTTCCCTACCTCTCAATTACTATTCCTCCCCGCCACTTGTGAGGCTGTCCTGTGCCCCAAGAGTGCCTACTACACCCCTAGTACTTACTAGTTTTATTTCTCCTATTCCAGAATCTCTGCCCACTTAAGGTCCTCTCTATGTGGAACTCAGGAAAGAGGAAAGATGGAAAAAGAAGTATGACATGTTTCTTCTCCTGCAAGAGGGCATTCGGCATGTGCTCACAGGTAAGAATCAAATGCTGTGATTTTCTACATTACTAGGGCTTTCCTGTGCCTCTCTTTATTTGTACAGTAGAGATAATAAACCCTGCACTCTTTCTGTCTCTTCATATGGAACTTTAAATAATACATAATTAGAGAAAGAGGTCCAGAGTTCCTGAGGCTCAAAACTACTTACATGCAGCATAAAGTATTGATTTCAGAGGCAGCTGAGATGAAGTAGATAGAACAGGCACAAAGTAAGGAGAACCTGAGTTTGGATTTCAACTCCAATGTCTTCACTTCATTTCTCTGAGCCTTGGTTTTCTTACTTACACAGTAAAAACTAACAACAATTTTGTCATTCCCTATTCTAAGTGCTTTATATATATATACTATTATCTCAATCTTCACAAGCCTATGAGATAAGTAGTCTAAATTTGATAGATGAGGAAACGGAGACATTGAGAGATGAAGTAACCCACCGACAGCTATAAATATTGAAATTTGGATTCAAGCTGAGGCAGTGTAGATTCAGACTTTATACTCTTAACTAGTCTGTTTCCTGGGGTTATGAGGAGGAAAAAATGAGATGACAGACAAAATAATTTTGTAAGTAGTAAAATATCATACACACATAAAGGACTAATTTCATTATTCTTCCCTCCATATTATCAAGATGCCATTTATACTCAGCAGGGAAAACTCTTGTATGGTAGAGTCAGAAGATCTATGTGCCCAAAGAATGGAATTTCCCACAGTTTTCAAAGTTCAAGTCTGGGGCTGCCAGTAAAGATATACCCCAGTGTCTGATCTTGGCAGTTTGGGATTAGAATGACAGGAGGTTGGAGCCAGAGCCCATGAGACTATTTAGACTAGAATTGCAGTCGAAAGGGAAAAGAAATAGTTGGTGCCAACTGCAAACTAACCAGAGGGGAAACACTGTTCATATCCTGAGAAAAAACTTGCTGATGCCCCATGCCCAAGGTATAGCAGGAACCCAGGCCAGATTTGATGGAATTTTGGTGCCAGATGATTTTTCTATGTAAGCAGGGAGTACACCTGATGAGACTTTGGTTGCTGCCATAGAAATTTAGCTCTCACTTATTCAGAGCGTTCTTCTAAGATTCAGTCACCTCCCCACAGACTGAGGGCTGGGGAAATCAGAGCAAAGGAAATGAAGGACATTTGCTGGAAATGACAATCCAGAGAGGAAACTTCATGTGCTGTGCAACAGCTGGTTGTGTGAAAGAAGAAAAAACAACCCTGTTCTAGCTGGGACCTGTTCCTGTTAATTGCTGGCTGCCTGATTCAGAAACCACCACCACACACTAATTACCTCATTTGAAAATAAAGGTTAGACAGTATAATCTAAAACAACCACATAGCAGTATGGTTCAAAGATTTCACAGAGTTATTTTCCAACACTGAGTATTGTAGCTTCAGTGACACTATGTCCCAGCAACTATTATTAAGTTGATGGGATCTTGCAGATGAAAGGTCAGATTCTCAACCCATTTTTAGGTGACCACAACTCATCTGGCTCTAAAGCAAAGGAAGAAAAGTTACAGGCAGTATGGGATAGTACAAAAGACACAAGATTTGAAATTGGAAGATCAAGGCTGGAGTCCTCCTTCTGCCTCTTATTAGTCATTATACCGTGAGCAAGTCATTTAGCCTCTTCATTTCTTAGTTTCTACATTTACAAATGGGGATTCCACCTACCCCTGGAATTGTTGTGGGAATTAAATGAGATAATGCTATAAGCGGCTGCTTCTTAAACTCCAGAGTATTACATGAACTTTAGCCATTATGATAGATTTGAAGAGTTTCTCTCTTAATGCTTCACTAGAAAAGCAAATTCAAAAGAGCAAAACTGAGGGGCCGGCCCGGTGACGCACTGGATAGTGCGCCGCTTGGGAAGTGCGGCGGCGCTCCCGCCCGAGGGTTCCCCGTTGCCGGTCCTGGTCCGGTACGGGGGCGACACTGAGGGTTGCGATCCGTTGCCGGACACGGAAAAAAAAAAAAAGACCAAAAAAAAAAAAAAGAGCAAAACTGATTAGCTTTAATCTCAATGCAAAATATAACAAATCCCAACCAAGAACCTTTCCTTAAAAATACCGCAAAATTAGATTTAAATGACACATAAGGACTGATGTTAGAAA